TGTACTGTCCCTTTAAGATAGTGTGGTACTGCTTCTATGTAGAATGCGGGGAGCTGATGCAGAGAGATACTACGGAGCCCCTCTGATGACATGGTCAAAAAAAAATTTTAATTGTGGCCACGAAGTAGTATTTCGTGCGCACGAAGTAGTATATCGTGGCCACGCAATAAGTATAGCGTGCGCACGAAATACTACTTCGTGGCCACGCAAAAAGTTTAACATGCGCACGAAATACTATTTCGTGGCCACGCAATAAGTTTAACGTGCGCACGAAATACTTATTAATAATATTAATATCATTCCTGGACAACTGGGTAAGCAAATCGAGCACGCCTTCTCTAAGATCTAAGGCACGCTCGATTTGCTTACCCAGTCGGTCTCCGCCAGTCACGTGACATTTGTTGCTAAGACGCCATTTTAGGTGCAAAAGGCGTAGTGTAAACAACCGCAGCATAGCTAAACGAAGGACTAAAGGCCCGTTTACATAGCTGCCTGTCCAAGATCAGTCATTACAGTTAACATAAGCCTGAAAACAGGGGCGGATTTATTGATATTATTAATAAGTATTTCGTGCGCACCTTAAACTTATTGCGTGGCCGCGAAATACTACTTCGTGCGCACGAAATACTACTTCGTGTGCACAAAATACTACTTCGTGGCCACAATTAAACATTTTTTTTGACCATGTCATCAGAGGGGCTCCGTAAGATACAGGTACTCAGACGGACATATAATTTTATCTTATTTTTCTTTGTAATTTTAGGGATTGTTTGGACTCTGCCCATTTGCCATGTGTGATAATACAGCAGCCGTTCAACCGGGCTTTGTATGGTTGGTGAAGAGCGCGTTTTATTAAATTAAGACACAGTGGAATTCCAAGTAACAGTGTGGCTTTGAGTTTTTGACAGCCCTCTCCTTCCTTAAACGCAATCATAAGCATTACAAGACCATGAGACTATTACACATCTTCCCTTTTAGCTAATTTAATTCAACCTTTATTTCCTAAAAAAAAAAACAATGGAGCAATAAAAAACAGAGATATGATTAGACTTAGTTCTATCCAGTTAGATCAGCTTCTTCTAAAACAATTTCTACCATTCACCCAAAAGTGCAAACATGTTTTTAAATCTGTGAAAGACAACAGAATTTTTAACAGCCGGTTTCAGGAGTCCAATCTTTTATGTAAGAGACTAAGGGCCGGATTTATCAAGATCCAATTTTGCGTGCAGTAATTTGCGCTCGCAAACTGGAATTTTGCGCGAGGGGCTGAACCATGGTTTGCGATTGATTTAACAAGAGTGATTGCTTAACTGGTGGCAGGTGCAAAACTGTTGGAGACGCCCTATTTAAATGATGGTTTTGCGCGTTTTGTGGTTTGCGGCAAAGTAGTTTGAACAATTTTTACAGTTCAACCAGAGACACGAGGTATATTAATATAGGTATACAGGTATATATATATATATATATATATAAACAAACTTTGGCAACCTTTATTCCCTAAGGTGGTATGTGGCTGAATTTCTACTTCACTGCAGTAAAAAAAAACAAAAAACAGGTGTTTTGTATTGGCCTGTAGAAAAATGCACATACCAAATGGCTCACAAGAAGTGACTGTGGATGAGAGTACTGCGCGTACGCATCCCCGCAGCATTGGCATGTTGCTCCACAAGCGCAGCGAGTCGGGGTTCTCCAGTAGGGCGTCAGGGCGACATGGCATTTAGAACGTCGGACAGCACTTCTGAAAAATGAGATTGGGAGATCCCAGCTCTCGCTGCAACCGTACGCTGGAATGACCCAGATGCAAAAAAGTGCAATGTTGCAAGGAGTTCTGTGATGTCTGGTATTGCGTGGGTCCTCCTTGTGACTGGCTCCAAATCCATTCGGAGTTCCCCCAACAGCTCCAAAATGGCAATGCTGGATAAACGATATGTTTTGATGATCGTTTCCTCGTTCATTCCAAAAATATTCACACGGAGTGAAAAAATGCGTTCTCTGCGTCTCCTTACTTCATTTCGATGTCTCCTTCTTGCGACAATAACCGCTGCCATGTGTGCGCAATTACGCATACAGACCATTTGCACCTTCTTTTGAAACGTGTTAAATATAGAGTCAGATACCGTTAGCAAAATTGCTTTCAGGTTTGATAAATCACTTTGCGAGTGCTAAATTAATATATTTACATGTTCTCCTCCCACAAGACGCACTTTTGCGTGTAAACGCCCCATATTGCATATTCATTGCAGAAAAAGTACTAAATGGATAAGAGGCGCTATTTAGCACGTTTTAAAGACCAAATCCTTTTAGCACGCTGTTGATAGATCAGTTTGTACATTTTTTAGGGTGCGCAGTGAAATAGCTCACGTTTTTATACACGCAAACCTTTGATAGATCCGGCCCAAAGAATTATATTCTAATTATTTAATATATTAATAATCTTCTGGTAAACTTTCACAACAGTTGTTACAACAGGCTATGGCAAGCCATTTTGATGTGTAGTAGTAGTTTGACTGAATATGTATTCCTGAGATCTGAAACAAAAAAACATTTCTTCCTTGTCAAAATGACAATCTCAAACAAAATGACATTCTTCACATCTAGATTAATTTCACATCTAGATCAATATTCTGGATGTGTAGAAATTAATTTCAGGTCTCCATATTCCTATTGTTAGTGGTCTGCATCTGTATTATTTTGACTATGACCATTTTCAGTCAAGATGATAAATGTCAAAATGGCCATATGCTGCTGATTCTCAGTCATCCAGGTCATAGTCAACGCTAACTCAACTTAACGCTCTTTCTTCCTTACATTTTGAATTGAAAAAGCTTCCTGGATGGGAAGCGAAAGTCTTCAAAGTTGGAAACAATGTCCAGTGGTTTGTTCTTTAACTTTTTTGGAAAGTCAAAATGGCCACTTTGTCAAGGCTCAGAAAATCTGAACAGGAATTCAGGCAGACAGAACAGGTTTGTTTGAAAGTAAAACACTTTATTGATTGGTCTGGATTGTGTGGCTGGTGAGCTGGGACCGGCTTGCTGGATTCTCTGTAGATAAAGATTCTCAGGATAGTGACCACTAGACTCATACTAGGAACAATGACGAGCATGAGAGTCACTAACCTGGTTGTTAGTTCTGTCCGTGTCCAGAGGAAGGAGTGGGAACCAGTTGGATGACTTATCCACAGCTTGCGGCTAGAGCCGCTCAGAGATTTCCAGGTGTGAGGCAGATCAGGCTGATGAGTAAAAGCCAGCTGACGCAGAAGATGTAGAATCAAGAGCGGCTGAAGAAGCAGATGTCCAGACCAGAAGATAAGAGAGATGCAAACGTGCCAAAGGGAAAATACAAGCCGAGGTCAGGGGACAGATCCAAAGTAGTTAACAGGCATAGTCCAAACAGCAGTCCAAACATAGGAACAGGCTGAAACAGAGCGGAACAGGGGCAAGCCAAAGCTCTAGTTCCAGTGGGGTGAAATAGGCACTTCCTGTTGCCTGTCGTCATGGTGACTCGTTGAATCGGGACTCCACTGATAATGGGTTTTCATACTTGGACCAACTTAGAGTTGATTGAACTAATTCATAGCAGCCATTGTGAGCTCCGTTGTGAAAGATGTCGTGGCTCAGATGTCCGAATCTTAGGTCAGATCAATTTAGAGGTGTAGATTTGAATCTAAGTATGCTAAACCTGTTTTGCGAAATGGACCCCTGTACTCAAAGACAGAGAAACCTGTTAATGGATGTTGTTTTTTCAGTTGAAGGGTTTTGTAGAGAAAAAAACATGAATGTTGCTTCATAAAGTGAGAAGTGATAAAGAATACTTCAAGACAGAGGGCTTTGAAAAGACCAACTGAATTAACAGACTTAGTAGTATGACACCTTTTGTCTTTATCTCATCTCCAGGAGGTATGTTTTTTTTCTTTCTTTTTTTGTTTTTGTTTTAAATGAACATGTTAAGACACTTTTCTCTGTGTCACAAATATAGAAAGATAAAACAGCCCTCTCCCAAACCTGTTTTAATGTTGGTTTTATAAAACAACCTAACCTTATGTTAAGTTATTTTAATCATTAATGGCCCTTTTTTAGCCTGTAGCAATGAGGAACACAAAAACTGTAATGCTACGTTCAAACTGCACATGCTTTGGGCAGAAAAAAAGTTGCTGCTGTTTCATTTTTGTAGCTTGTACACATTAATATCAGATGAGCTTCAGGAGCACCAAAGAAGCGTCAACCATAGACTTTGCATGTAAACCAGCTGCTTCTGCTGCCCAAAGCGCATGCGGTGTGAACATAGCATTAGAAATCAAAAAAGCCTACCTGTTAGCTTATCTTAGCATTTCCCTAAAGATTAACCTATGCCAGATAATGTTAATATTTGTATATTGCATACAGTTCAGAGGATTGATGACTCTGGTCATGTGAAATTTCTTTCTGACAAGTTTTAGCTCAGCTAAGCTACTGGATCACATTCACAAATACAACATTGTAACTAAAGCCTTCTACGTGGCGATATGTGGCTGGTGTGTGTACTTTCTGCTTAAAATAAGGGAAATAATTACTAAAAGTGATTTCTTGAATATAGGTGCAGGAGCTTTACCTGTTAGCCTTAATGACTAATAGCTACATTGGAAAAATGACAAATATATACTCAACATGTTTAAAACAACATTTCTTTTTAATTAATTTAGGAAAAATGAATTCTATTGAAGGTAGTTATATGGACCCCAAGCTGACATTTGTACCATACCTTTTAGTATGCAGTACCAAAGTGTATACCTCTGGTACTGATTATTATCAGTTTATAATCAAAGCGTCCAACATGCAATCAGTATAACTTATTGCTAGGTAAAATGGACAGAATATTTTATTAGATTCCTTTAGAGACATGTTTGAACCCAGTTACAAATGTTTCAGTATCACTTGTGTAATATCCTTCATCTGCAAAGGATGACAAAATGCTAATAGTAACAATTATCACACTTAGACTTGGATGACAGAAAAAAAGTGCATTTGCAGTAATAAGACAACATAAGTTAGTACCATAGAATAACTCATTTCAACAATTTGCACATTAGTTTTCATGCTTAAGTTAAACTAGTTGTATACATTTAAGCATTTCCACAAAACTTGCAGTTCTTCAATTTGTATCCCTTCATATTGTGTAAAAACAATGAAATTTTCTTACACCCTACACTGTGTACAGGTGTCCTCCTTTACATAATAACCACAAGTGCTTTAGAATAAGGAATCTGGACTCCAGCTCTTGTTTCATGAAGACGCTTTGTACAATACATTGGCTGAATGGCTGGTAGAGGTGACTCAAGAGTTTAAATACCAGGATAGTGACTCTAACTTAGAATTAACACTTGGACAGTGTGGCTGTTCTTCTAGCGACTTACAGTATAATCCAGTTACATCCAGCTATGTTCAGAAATGAATTAGCCCTGAGCTGACAGATGAAATGTTTAAAAAAGTTATGTTGTGTTATGTTCTCCTTAAGCATCCATTAGGAAAAGCTATTGTGCGTCTTCTGTAAGCACCAACCACAAAGTTTAAACCACCTTACCCTTAGCTTCAACAACATAGAATAGAATCTAGGAAGGAAATCCTTCAACAAACCCAAGATATAAACAGAACCAACTTCTTTTCCTATACTACTATTTTCAAATGACTGATTTTGTAGGTTAAATTTCACAAAGCTCCCCCACACACCAATAACATCACTTTTATAATCCTGTTTACCATGGACCCACTCCAAATGATCCTAGAAAAAGCCAAATTAGCGGCTTTAAAAAAAACGTATAATCAACCCATGGCGATCTTCTTCTAGTTCCCCACCATGTTTGGCAGGACGCTCGCATCCTCCTCTACATCCTGGGTCACAGTCTTCCCAACCAGCTTGAAGATCTCCCCAGCTGGGATTCCAATTGGCTCAGCCGCCTTAACCCCCAACATGTCCAGAGTTAGGACCGTTCCTTTGGGGATCTTCACCTTAGCCACCACAGACTTTCCCAGCTGGAGGCACAGGAATTAAGAGGAAAGTTTGTTATTGTCTGGAACTAATACACATCAGAATGTGTCTTTTAGGCAATGCCTTTCTGTTAATCCGACCAAGTAGAAAGCTAAACTGACCTTGCTGTGCAACACCTTCTCACCGGGCAACATCTGCTTGATTCTACTTCCCATGGCCTTCTCCACCAGACGTATGGAGCGAATCAGCTCAGCCAGTTCAGAGGGTTCAAGTGATGCCCCATGATCACTGCCTTTCCAAGTTTTATCCAGCGTTACATGTCGCTCAATCACCTTAGCTCCCAGAGCTGCAGCTGCCACTGAGATTGCGATTCCAGTCTCATGACCCGAATATCCAATGGGAATATCTGGAAACTCCTTCTGATATTCCTGCAGTCAAAAGGTTGATAGTGTATGTGGTTTAAAAACAACTTATGAAAGCACTTCCAGCTGTAGCTCTGTTTCTTTATCATTCCAATGGAGGACTGCCCTATATTGATATATTGATACGCTGAATAATCATGCACAATAAGCTATTTACCGTGATCACTCTGAGGTTGACATCTTCAGGGTCCAGAGGGTATGTGCTCGTGCACTGCAAGATGGTGAAGTTTTCATTGTGCTGCTTCACTGTCTTGTACACCTGACGGATTGTCTCCATTGACTGCATCCCAGTGGACACAACCATGGGACGGCCTGATAAGAGAAAAAAGAGGGAACATACCTAATTAGTATTTTCAGTACTATATACATAAAAACTAAAACAGAGAAAATGTGTCAATTTTAAATCAATGTAACTCCTCAAGGCTCTTTACTTTTCCTTTTCTGTCACGAGTTAAAGATGGTAAATATCTTGTACTTACATAGTGCCTTTTCAAGTCAGGGGACACTTAAGAACTTTACACTACATTTAGTCATTCATCCAAACACTCACAGTATCAAGCTACATTGTAGCCACAGCTGCCCATAACTCACTGACAGAAGTGTGGCTGCTGTGCAGAGGTCAACAGTGTTGGGCATGTTACTTTGAAAAAGTATTTAGTTATATTTACTAGTTACTTCTCCCAAAAAGAAACTGAGTTACTAACTGCGTTACTCCACCATAAAAGTAACTAGTTACTAGTAAAACTAACTATTGCCTTACTTTTATGTTTCTCACCTCCTAACCCTCACCACCTGGCCCCCACCTTCTCGCCATGTGTTTCAAAAGCCAGCTGAATAGAGTGGACGACAAAGACAAGAACCTGCAGAGTTTTGCATTTATTGCAACTCATCTATCTATCTATCTATCTATCTATCTATCTATCTATCTATCTATCTATCTATCTATCTATCTATCTATCTATCTATCTATCTATCTATCTATCTATCTATCTATCTATCTATCTATCTATCTATCTATCTATCTATCCATCCATCCATCCATCCATCCATCCATCCATCCATCCATCCATCCATCCATCCATCCATCCATCCATCCATCCATCCATCCATCCATCCATCCATCTAGATTTCTCCATATAGGCTAACATTTGATCCTTCACGCTCTCCGTAGTTCCCCTTCGTAGTGGTGCGAGCACAGGGCGGCTGTTGCGCATCTTTAGCGAGCATGCGCGTTTCCTGTCGCTTGCGCGGTGAATCGTGCCGCCTGCGCTGTGCAGAGATGCAGGGGAAACCGTATCTGATTGGGAAACGCAGCTCGACGTAACATCGGTATTTCCATCTGGAAAATGCTGTGTTGCTGCTGGAGTCATCCTCACTCTCCATCTCTCTGTGTGTGCTGTACGTTAACACCCGCCAGCGGAAACACCCACCTACCCAACTGACAGACGTAATCTCACTATACATCAGCCATTCTCATCCTCCCCTCTCTCATGACAAGGCGCGCACGAGTCCTATCATGAAAAAAAGGTTAATTGTGCGACCTGAGTAACGTGCAATAAAGGACTGTCGGCAATGGTAATTGCGTTATAGTTACAGTAAGAGTAATAATTTTGATTACTCATTACTAAAAAAAGGTAACAGCGTTAGAAACACGTTACTTTCAATGGCGTTACTCCCATCACTGCAGGTGACACATAGACCTCAGACCACCATCAGGGGACAATGCAGCTGAACTGTCTTTCTGCACCAGCAATGAAAGCTGGAGCTAGGTTTTAACCATTGCAGGGCATACTACTGCATCTGATGCCATAGTTGCTCCAGATGAACAGAGCACATTTTAATATTAGTCAAAGATAACATGAGCAAATAAAGAGATGAATATTTTCTAATGGAACAAAGCTTTCCCAACCAAACTTACCTAATGTAAAAAAAAAAGGAAGTCATCATCTGAATGACAACTGTTTGTGCACCACTAGCAGCAAAAACAGCAGTCAATAACAAGTGTCCAAGAGCTGAAGACTATTCTGGCAAAGAGCAGAATTTATGTTTCCATTAATTATTCAGGTCATGGAGCAGCAAAGCGGCGCAAGACCATCTCACTACCACCACAATCATTTACTGCCTATCTAAAGGTCTACTTCTGGAATGTTGACCCCTCACACCCCCACCATTGACTGTTCTCCCTTCTGCCCTCAGGGAAGAGGCTTTGCAGCGTTCGATGCAGGTCCAGCAGATGCTGCAACAGTTTCTTCCCCACCGTCAAGCTCGGACTGGTAATCTGAGATACTGCCCCAGCGGGCCGGTCCTTATTTCAGCGTGCGCCAGCCGGCCCTCCTTTAATCATACCGGCCCCAACACTTAATAGCAGATTAGCCTTCTGCAACTGCACACATCAAATGTCACTTGGGTCTGGTCGCAAACCCCTTTTGCTGGTATGCTTATGCACAGTCGGTCTGGAATTTCTAGGGACGCATGGCAGTTTCCTGCCAAAGAGCAAGTGGAAGCCTATTCGAGAACTCGCAAGAACTTTGGCGGACGATCATGAGAACTTCGCTTTGGTAGAGACCTTGGCATCTTTATATAATTTGTCTGAGGCATCGTACAAGTGGTTGTGCTTCCGAGCCTCCTTGATTAACCATTGTACATTGTAGTTAGTCCACGGTTTTTAAGAATGGTGCGCCCCTGCACCGAATCGAGAAGGACAATCACACAGACAGCCAGAAAGGCATACCAATGACCAATCAAAGCTGCTTTTGGTCTGTGCACTTCCTCTTGAGGTCTGCACGGTTTGCAACCGTCCGACATGTAGTCAGGAGGTGCGCATTGACGGTTGCAGAACCACTGCGCGGGGGCGTGGTACCGCACAGAGACAGATTTGACAGTTCCAGAGGCTATGTGTCAGAAGCATAAATAGGCCTTAACTCTGCAGCTGAAGCACCTACCTGTGACAGTAAATAACTAAAGGAGCTCAATAAGTAATACAATATCAACTACCTAAATGATACATGCAGTATATATAGCCCTTCCTTTTCATGCACATCCTTGTGATGGTTGGCATATGGTGTCATTTTATATTTCTTCAAACTGCAAAATCCTATTTCTAGAAAACTATAAAATCCTTACAACAAACTAAATTGTAATAAAACTAAAATGCTTTCTTTAAACCAAACTACAATGATCCTCTGATATTTGGCGAATTTATGTTAGAATAATTTACAAAAATATGTTGCGGCGCATGATGAGGTTTTGCATCTAAAGGCTAACGTTTCCCATCTTACGTGCATTATTGCCAGGTTGGGCTGTTTTCCAATCTGGCAGTTTAGGATGGCCATTTATGGGTAAAAAAAAGTTTTTCTTTAGATTTATGGCCTAATAGATCAATAGACTTTGTTTCAAATTGGGCCAGATTACATATATCCAGGCGGTTTAAGAACATTTTTGGGCTGGAAAAATTGAGTTATCCATAAGTGGGCTGGTAGATGGAAAAAGGCCAGGGCCGAAAATCGTTCCCAGACTGAGCCTGCCCACAACCATCAGACAGCTGAACTGTTGAAAAAAACTCTAAATCATGTCTTTCTAAATCTCTAAACTCTAAATCATGACTCTGCCTTACACTGATAACACCAAACCAAAACACTGCATATTTGCTGTCTCTGTTTACAAAATGACAATAAAAGTTGTCTAAGTTCATGCTCTATGCAATGGGATGCACAGCTCCCATAAATTTTAGTCCTTCTTTCTTGCATGAATTCACAAAATGTTCCTGAAAAGTTTTTAAGAATCAGGGCCGCTGTTTGTCCATTTAAAGTCCAAGGATTTGGATGACCTACAGGAATTCACTGGAATTCACGTGCAGTTGTTATTACCCTTAAGGCCCACGGACTTTGAGTCTGAGATAAACTGCACTACACCTTCATTCCAGCAGGTGACAGCAAAGACAACACTAAATTGCTTTTCCCTTTAGATCCACTGCTACGTAAATACCTGAGCAAAATAAGTTAAATGTATACATTAAAAGTTAAATGTATACATTTAACTTTTTGTATAAACCTCCATCTGGCATATACCTGCATGATTTATTTACAGTAACTATTAAGAGTGATATTGTTATTTTTTGTTTATCATAATAATTTGATAAACCTCATAGCTGTGGCAAAAATGGTTGACTGTTGTCAAAATGTAATTTATTAAAGTCAGTCAACTTGCACAAGGAATTAATACCTTGATCTTAATTAATCATAAGCAAATATGTATATGGATTTAGAGGATGTAGACAGTGTTGACCATGTGAGGACGTAAAATCAACAGCATAAAATCATGAATAAAACAGACCAGCCAAGAATTTTTCTATTTGTTTGACTTCTTTATTTATATGGTTAAATCTTTCTCAGGGTAGCTTAACTTTCGCTGGCAATTATTTTTTTCCCATAAAACCACAAAATCTATTTTCACTGTGTGCTTGTATGCTCATGGCTTTTTTGTCATCCATTGTTTCTCACTCCCAAATAAAACCCTTCAGCCTAATCAAGGCATTGTGCACCTTTCCCTTGTTTTACATTGGTCACTGCAGGACATTTAAACAAAATGTAGTAAATAAATACCCCAGTACTCTTAACATATACATATACTCAGATTGATTGGAATAAATACGCATTAACTGCATAGTGTGGTCATATTTCTCTGGATAAAATGTGATTAATATAATGAGGAAATGAGAACATTTATTAAACATCTTGTGTTGATTTGCTACAAATTCAAAAACCTTGTTTTTTCTATGTCATAACATCCTTTGATGGTTTGAACGTAATTTTATCGAAAAGTAACCGCTGTAGTGACCATAATCTCAACCTTTGCTTATTTAGTAATTCAATCTCACCTTTCTTGGCTGTCTTCTCAAGATATGGAAAGTTATCAGCATCTGCAGATGCTACTTTGATAAAAGGGACATTAATTTCATGGAGAAACTCCACAGCCATCTGAAACGTACAGATACAGGTTAAAGCTCTGATCAGATAAATCATGAGCTTTTAATCGAAAGTCTGTTACCTCGTCCATCCCTGAGGCAGTGAAGAAGATCCCCACTTCTGTTGCATATTTCTGCAGCTCCCTGTACTGCTCATGGCTGAACTCTAGGTGGCGCTTATGCTCACCATAAGTTTTCCCCCAGGAGTTCTTGGAGGTGTATGGACGCTCCAAGGCCTGCTTGTTAAACCTCACCTCCAACTCACTTTTCTGGAATTTGGCACAATCAGCACCACAGTCCTATAAAAGAGGAGGCAAAACATATAAAATATATGTCGGATTTGAGATTAAGATCAACACATGCATTAACATGTTAATATGTTGTTGTAGGCCTACTTGGAATAAATCTATAACTTTGCAGTTTTTCAAAATATTATGATACTTCAGCAAACAAGATGTTAAAGAAGCAGGTACACAAAATGATGAAAGAAACATCATTTGGAGCAAAATGAAAGAAAAGTGTAGCATAAAGCAATTTAATTCACAGTAGGACCTGTTCATTTCAAACAAACCATTTAAAAAGAAAAAAAGACTGGCATAGACTTAAAATTTTATCCTGTTATTTAGGATGAAAAGTGATTAAAAAATTAAAAATCTCAGGTACTTATTAGAGGTGTGCATTGGCACTGCCCTCACGATTCGATTCGATTACGATTCACCAGGTAACGATTCGGTTCAATTCGATTCTACGATGCATTGCGATGCATCAAAATCCCATTGACTTTGTAAAATCCGAAATGTGCCCAGATATCCGCTTTCCAAGCTTTTGGTGCGTTTTTAATTAGGCCTACCCGTCTATCGCGGTCATCTCCCTCCGCCTTAACCATCTTGATTGTTGTTGGTATGCCTCCAGAAGTAATTGAAACTTCACAACTTGTCCATTTGAGGCCAGAAAATAGGCAGTGACATGATGAGGCAGTGATTGATTATGGCACGTTGCCGCATCGATGCTGAATTCACAACAATGAATTCTGCTAAATTCGCCTAAATGTAAATAAACAATTTGGCTAAATTACTACAACACATTATAGAGTTCAAGTAGAGTGTTGAAGGAATTCCAAGTCATTGCATCAAATGCAATGATTCAGTTTCAAATCAATTTATATCTATAGCGCCAGTTCACAACACGTCATCTTTACAGTTCACCAGATCATACAGTCAAATTGATTCAAAGTTTTCAATCTAAGGAAAACCAGTTGATTGTATCAACTCATTGACTCGATATAGCATTTATTATTACTCTACGGGGTAAAAAGAAGTAAATAATGGCAAATAATTGGTTCTGAACAAGATAAAATATAGGTATAAATATATTGCTAACTAATGTATATTGCCTTATGAGTTCATTTCTTATTTTAAGTGTCCCACTTTTGCAATATAATTTTAATTTGAGAGATGTTGTCAAGTGAAATTATCTTGCTGGATGGACAGATCATTTAGGCTTAGAGACTTAGATAGACTTAGACAGATTTTATTTGGTCATTTTGGACACACAAGTGCATACAAAAAGAAATGTCATTAAGTACAGCTCGCTAGACTTGATAAAGGTAAGCAGCTTTGATAAAGGTAAGCAGCAGTGATAAAAACAATTTCAGTTGTTTTCAGTATCTTTCCCCTCAGATTTTGTGTTGTTTTTTTTTCTTCTTTTAGACCCCACTTACCGTGTTAACAATTAAACTATTTCACTGTCAATTTTTCGGGATTTGGAGAAATCATAATGGAGGATATTCTTTTTCTGGGTGGATCATCAAAATAAGTGGTTCTCCTAATTGTCATCATTCTGGTGATGTGTTTAAACAGGATGCGCACAGCAACTTTTAAACAGTGCATGTGCATTTTTTTAATGGAGAGGGCGGATTTTCTCCACTCTCCCTCCACAATATCTTTAATTATTGCATTTTTCACATGCTTACACTGCAAATACGATCTAGAAATAAGTAAAAATTTCTTAAATTAGGCGTATTTACCCTTAATTTGATTTGGTAAATAAGATGATTTTCCAATGAAATTAGTATTTTTTTGTCTTAAAATAAGATAACTAGATAATATGAACGTAAAATAAGACAACGCAATAGTTTTTTCCTTTTTTAAATGTAAATTGTCTTGTTCCATTAGCACAGTGTCTCACTTTGAGTAGGCTAATAATTCAAGTTCTTGAAACTTTAAACTTTTCAGTGCTCAAATATTCTGACTATTTAGCCCTACTGAAATTATTAAGGATATCTTTAAATGATAGTTTGTTAAATACTAATGTTTTTTGTTTTTTTTTAGATAAGCTTAATGTACAGTAATTGTGAGCCTAAATTAAGTGTTTGGCATTTTCAGCATTTAGTTTAATGTATTCAGCTCAAAGACTCAGTTTTGTGATTTTCAACGATTTTAAGAGAAATTATATAAATATTTGGTCTAATTTTTTTATTCTTGTCATACATAGGCTACTAAGGCTCTAAATGACTTTTTAGACTTTACCTGACCTGCGGCAAAATGGGGTTCTTATAATCTCTTATATATAAATCTGCTAACCTTAATCCTGTCCAGACTGATTTGAAGGGCTCCTGAGTTTTTTTTTTCTCTTCATTCTGTATAGTTATGGTTTTATTCAATTATCTGAGCTTTGCAGACAGCAAAGCTCTAAAAACCTCAGGAATAAATCAAAATGATCATTATCTGTATCCATGTAAAAAAAATAAATAATCACATTTGAGATTTGAAGCTATATACAGTATTCATATTATTTAGATTTTTGAGTTTCCACACATATTTGGAAGCATGAAAAAGACAAGAACCAAGGTTTTATATTCTTAATTAAATTTTGATAGGGTTAAAGAAGGCCGTGTATTTCAGCAGGCAAAGGTTACACAAAAAAACTTGACTGCACCTGATTTAACTGCATGTTAATATTTTATCTTGATTTTCTGCTACATCCTTGTTCCGTCTGTGGGGTTTAATTGCATAATGCACCCTGGAGTTCAGCCACTCATGCATTGTTTTATTTGCAATCAACATAGGATCTGTTAATAGTTTCAAGTGTTCACTTGGAGGCGTCAGATTTCCTCCCTCTGCAATGTTTTCTGCGTTTTCTTGATCAGGCCATACTCGTGCTCAGAGGGGTGGCCAGACAATTTTTATAAGGGTAGCCAGGCAATAACCCGAAACTTGATAGACACCAGAACCTCAGGGTCAATCTGCAATAGGAAAATTAATGAGCACAACATCCATATTCTGTAAATGAAGACAAACTATACTTTCCTACAACCTTTGCTGGCAAATAGATGCATAAATATTTAAACATCTGTGCTTTCTAGATAAAAGCTATAGTGGATACAATTGTTTAAGGTTTGAGTTCTGGGGCAAACATCTCTTCCGTTGCCATTACTTACCTACTTTTATCAGTAATCATTCTGCATAAAATTGATATTTACAAGTACGGATATCAACATAAATTGATTATTTAATACATCTTATTTAAATAGTTATTTATGAATAATTTTACTGAAGACTCTTAGATGACCCGCAGACACATAATTTACCCCATAAAACAGAAAATCTACTTTTGAAAAGAGCTTGAATTCTGTACTTATTATCTTATATGTTAGCATATTTATGCGCATAATTAACCACAGTGTTTTTGTTGTCAAGTAATTGTTAATATATGAAAAATTTAAATGTTTTGAACATTCCCCTTCAGAGTATTACTGCTGCCACTATCTGTATTAAAGGGAAAAAATAGTAGGGGTGGCCAATGATTGGCTAAGCCAGCGGTCCCCAACCACATGGGTCATTTGTTACCAGGCCGCACAGAAAAAAAAAAAAAAAAAAAAAAAAAAAATATATATATATATATATATATATATATATATATATATATATATATGTATATATATATATATATATATATATATATATATATATATATATATATATATATATATATATATATATATGTAATTTATCGACGATCAGAGTCTGAGTGATGTTTTATTTTGAAAAATATAAAAAATTGCGGCATTCTCTCCCAAGTACATCAGTCGGTGCATCTGTGCCTCTTGACACAGGTTATAATTCAGTTCAAGACTCATCCTATCTATAACATCCTATCTTTGTGAAGCGGGATTTCCTAGCTTTGTTTTCTGACCAAAACAAAGCTACGGAGCAGACTGGACATCAGGAGCACACTTCGTCTGTCATTTTCTCCGATTACGCCTAGATGGGACCGGCTTGTTGTTTTATTTTTATGCTGTTTGTATTTGATTTTATGCCAGTCGTATCATTTTACTTGATCGTATCTCCCCCCCGCCGGCCGGTCCGTGAAAATATTGTCAGACATATAGCGGTCCGTGGTGCAAAAAAGGTTGGGGACCGCTGGGCTAAGCCACCCCCTGCCACCCATCTAGCTTCACCCCTGCTGCTGCTTACCCTGAACTCTGGGAACGCTGACTTCAAGTTAGCTGATTGATTATCACTTGTCTGAAATCGAAAATCCTGAAAGTCTCAAAGCTGGATTAATAAATGCTCTATGCTAAGAATAGGTTAATCCCACTTTCTGAAGCAGATTACTGGTGACAAAAAAATTTAAAAAACCCTGTCCAGACTGATTTGAAGGGCTGAGTTTTTTTTTTTTATTATTGTTATTATTATTGTCCTCTTCATTCTTAAGGTTTTATTTAATTATCTTAGCTTGGCAGACAGCAAAGCTCTAAAAAACTCACAAAAGAAATGATCATTATCTGTATCCATGTAGACAAAAATCACATTTGAGATTTGAAGCTATATATCCATATTATTTGGATTGTTGACTTTCCAGACATATTTGGAAGCCTGAAAAAGACAAGAACCAAGGTTTTATATTCTTAATTAAATTTTAATAGGGCTAAAGAAGGCCGTGTATTTCAGTAGGCAAAGGTTACACATAAAATCTGCAGATAATTTGACCGTACCTGATTTAACTGCATGTTAATATTTTATCTTGATTACCTGCTAGGCTACATCCTTGTTCCGTCTGTGGGGTTACGTCGAAAATACGCACGCATACACGCACATTATTTTCTTGTCAAACAGATGGTGTTGAGGATAAAACTTTAATTTTCTATTAAATCTCACTCATGCATTGTTTTAGTTGCAATCAACATAACCTACAGGCGCTTACCCTGCAACCTGGGTACACTGACTTCAAGTTAGATGATTGATCATTACAAAATCCCTAATGTCTCAAAGCGGAATAAATAAATGCTCTATGCTCAGATATAGGTTAATCTCTTTCTGAAGCAGATCATTGGTGATTGAAAAACAGAAATTAAGAACATTTTGTTGCCTTTTGAAGTTTGAATTTAAATATTTTTCTCATCTTCTGAAATCATGTATCCTTTTTTGTCATCAGCATATATTTTCTTCAAGTTTTCACAAATTCTCACTTTAATCCAAAAACTTTAAAGCAAAAATATTAATGCATTAAAAGGCAATGTATATAACAATAAAATACAGTTATTATTAATACAGGATTCCGTATATGAAATTATTATTAAACCTGACCTTTGCCATTTTAATCATTTTCTTGGCTATCTCGATGTCTCCCTGGTGGTTCTGTCCAATCTCAGCTATGATGAAGCATGGATGGTTCCCTCCGATCATCCGGCCGGGGCACAGCTCAAACTCCACAGGCATCCTGGTGGCAGAGGAGGAAATAAATGCTGCTGATGGATGTTAAAACAAACGGTGTGCTGGTCAAGATCTCAAAGGAAGAACGGTGTAACTGAAATAAAGGATATATCAAAAGAAATCTCCAGCTCCGCCTTTATCTGACGTGTCCCCGCTTCTCTTCGGACCATTTTCTGCCATCTGTGTGCTGATATATGCAATATGACACGTATTAAAGTATATGTCAACTTGTGCGAAATTCTACTGTTTTACTCTCTGTTTCCTTTGACTTTAGCAGCTATTTATTCTCTAGTAACTTTTAGTCTGTATTTTTATGTTGCGCATACAAATTCATATTTCTGCTGCGTCATCTTAATTTCTTTCTTTTTAATATATATATAAATGTAGGCTATTTCAGGCTGAAATTAAGTTTCAGCAAGACTCTTATATTTTGGGTGATAGTTGAGCAGGGTGACCACCAGTATAAGCGGCCGGACTGACAGGTAAATTGCATTTTATTTTCCATTTCTGATGGCAACCAAATATTCAGAGGGAGAGGCGCAAACGGTGCGCTAAATATTATTTGGATGTGGAAACAGGCTGTGTATGCGGGCAGATGAGGGTTATTTAAACTATACACAGAGATGGTTTTTGTTGCTCCAGCTGTCATTTATTTTTTTTTGTTAGTCCGACCCTGTTTGGTGTCTTTTGTCCCATTGTTCACTTGTGCTTGAGGGCGGACTAACTATTTAGTTTTTTTTCTTATCTATTTACCATTAATTAATTTTTTCCCCTGGTCACTCTCCCAAACATACTGTGAGCTGGTAGACAATATTATATCTGATCTGATGGTTTGCAGTGTTTGTTTTTCACCTGATTGCTGCGAAACCTTAATAGAAATGTGCGACTTTCTTGTTCTGGTTATGCGGGTTTGTCCACCATCCACCAATGTCCGAGTGTAAATATTATATTGTCTACCTTAAGCTATATGTTGTAGAAGGAGAGAAAAAGGATTTTGTCTAATAAAGAACATATATTTTTTTTATTATATATATATATATATATATATATATATATATATATATATATATATATATATATATATATATATATATATATATATATATATATATATATATATATATATATATATATATATATATATATATAGGCTATATAGGGGAAACAAGATTCAGCAAAAAAAAAAACATGAAACTATTTAAAACCTCTATAAAACCAGCATTCTTTATTTTTCCTTATTTATTACTTAAACTGTAGACTCTACAACAAGCAGCCAACAGCTTAAGATTTATCGACAAAAATCCCGATAAGTGCTCAGAAGAGATTCGTATCCATAGCTGCAGTGCGCGCTCCCGACACACAGGTAACAGACTTTCGCGCAAAAGCTCGACTGAGAAAAAAGTTGGCCGATTAATAATCATCAGTGCCAGGATGCAGTGATACCTGGCCACCTGGTGTTGTTGCATACAGCATTAAAAACCTTTAGATGAAAAATATCCCATTGTCTCTCTCTCAATTTCTCTCTGTCATTCATTTGCAGAGAATTTCTATTAATTATTAGTTTTTTTATGGTAAAAAATATTTATATAACCTACAACTTGATCCATGGGTTTAAATTAAATTCCTTAAATAGTAATTAAGGTACAGTATCCTTTTTTAAAAAATATTTTACTGCAAATTTCCTCTACTTTAGACCAGAGTCAACTCATGACCTTGCATTAAAGGAATAGTACACCCAAAACATGATTAGCCTTCATTTTCTACTCACCCCCATGCTGAACAACACTCTGGAGTACTTTTTTGATATCTCAAATGCATCTGGAGATCTGGGAGGCTTCTTGCTGTCTGCTGACATTCAAATAATGGAGGTCTATGGTGACCAAGACAGAAAGGTCCATAAAAGTCCACAAAAAACGTGTCAATATTCCTCCATACTGCTCGTCCAATGTATTCCAAGTGTCCTGAGTGGGTAGCATCCAGAATTTACTCGAAACGAAGTCATTTAGAATGTTTTTAGAGCATGAACAGTAGTGTATAGGATTTCCTGAAAGCGCGCACATGCACGTTCACGACGCTACGGAAGCCGGCAGACCAAACCAGCGCATTCAGCTCGGCAAAGAACTCATGCTCTTCCTCAACACTGAAGTCCTCAGACATTTGTCTTTCGTTGTTTCTTTCTTTGCACAGGTAAACGGCACATTTCTTCTTCTACGCTTGCATTATCGGCAGAGCAGACGCTGAATGCGCACTTTCATCTGGTTTGGTCTGCCGGCTTCTGTAGCGTCATGAATGCGCCGGCGCGCGCTTTCAGGAAATCCTATACACTACTGTTTATGCTCTAAAAACATTCTAAATGACTTCGTTTCGAGTAAATTATGGACGCTACCCACTCAGGACACTTGGAATACATTGGAAGAGCAGTATGGAGGAATATTGACACGTTTTTTGTGGACTTTTATGGACCTTTCTGCCTCGGGCACCATAGACCTCCATTATTTGAATGTCAGCAGACAGCAAGAAGCCTCCCAGATCTCCAGATGTATTTGAGATATCAAAAAAGTACTGCAGGGTGTTGTTCAGCATGGGGGTGAGTAGAAAATGAAGGCTAATCATGTTTTGGGTGTACTATTCCTTTAAGGTGTAAGAGACGCTTCAAAGAAGGTTGTTCAACTACAATAAAATTATTAAAACCCTCACATTCAAAGTTAGCTATCAGCTTTTTAACGTGTTTTGGTGTTTTATTGCTATTCTGGTGTTTATTGTTTTTTATTGGTGTTTGCACTCACTGCCAATACATCACTTATCCTGAGTCATTCGGCTGAACTCTCTGCTGGTTCTAAACTTTTCTTCTGAGTTGCCACTAAATTACTTTTTTTTTCATTAAAGGCCTTCAGCTTTGGTGAATGTTTCTTCTGTGTAAATAAAAACTGTCCACATGATTAATTAAGGTGCTGCAAAATGTAAAGAGAATTTGAAATAATTGTATTTATTTCTGTTAATGCTTGATGTACAACACCTTAATCTGTCTTGCTACTGAAACAAGCTAAATAAATCTATCATGCAATTATAAAGACAAGTATTCTAAATATGTTCTCAAATTTCCCTTTACCAACCCATAATGCACAGCTCTTATGCACAAAGCAGGAGGAAAAATATCTCATAATTAAACTGTTAGATGTTGAAATTACTCAAAGTACCGATTGTGTTGTTATAAGAAAAGAGAGAAAATATGATTAAGTGAAAAATGATAGATTTTTAGTATGAAAGTAGAACAGTTATATTTTTTTAAAACAGAGTAGAAAAAATTTATCATTTATTCCTTTTTTGTTAAAGGCAAAATACTTAAAAAGAGCACATTATGCTGGTTGCTATGAGTAATACACTGATGTGTAAAATATTGCTCAATACTCAATATTACTGCCAAAGCTGTTTTTGCAGACTACTTCTGTTATGTTGATGTTCCCCATGCAGTCATCAGCCACATGGACACCTAGCAGGCTCTTCATACAGACCTTGTTTATTTGCACTGGGACGTAGTCTGTTCTTTTTTTTTTTTCTACACCCGATCACTATTTCATTGCTTTTACTATTGTTTTGCAAACTATTGATGACTGAACACCATGAGAACAGTACCTAAACTTGTGTTTTGGTGGGGTGTGTGTGTTGTCTAACCCTCATTGTTTGTGAACAGTCTGTCAGGAATGTAATAATCTAGGGACAGGTGATGGCTGGGATGCACTGTCAAATTTTTGGCTATGATATTTTGCTGAATGGTGAGCTAAAGTCTAGAAAAAGTATCCTGACATAGCTCCCTTGATTTTCTTTGTGGCTTATAGCTGCAACAGCTCATGACCTATTTGCTTTAGGCAAATTGGTGTTGGTCAAAGTCCCTGAGTAGGACTAGAGGCTGGGGGATAAAACAAGCCTCTCAAAACACATTTATGAGGAAAGTACTGCCGTTCTGTAGTCATTTAAGCTGATGTTGTTTTTAGTTACAGGTATGATGGCTGTAACTGTCCAGGGGATAGTTAAGAGTTAAAAATTCTGTCTATTTTTAGGATAGTACTATGATTTATGAACATTTCTTTTAATTGATTTAGAAAAGTTAATTTACTGTTTTTTTTATTTGTATGTGAATAAAGGTTACATGACTAGTCCAGTTAGTGGATTTGAACTGAATTATGGGTAATCCAATACGGCTGCAGAGACACATGCCAGCATTGCAGAAACGTTAATGATCCACTCAAGAGGAAAAGGCACTTCTGTTCTGGTCTGAAAAAGGTGCACACGGTAATTTGTTTTGATTATTTGAATGTTTCATATTGATATTTTAGATATATATATATATATATATATATATATATATATATATATATATATATATATATATATATATATATACACATATAAGGGCTGTCAATTGATTAAAAATATTTAATTGGCATTAATCGCATTAATTGGCATTCATCGCGTGAAAATAGTTAATTGCAATTAATCGCAAATGATCTTTAATCCGCTTATTCTTTATAAAGAATAGACAAATGCTTGCTTTATCCAAAAAAACATGTTTATTTATTGCTACAATTAGAAATACTCTCAGTTCTAATCACTTTCAGGTGCAAACATCATTGTAAAATAAGATGCTGAAATCATAAACTCAAATAAATGCCCAACAAAACAATTGTGGATGTGCATGCCATTTTACTATAGTGATGTTTCCTAACACAGAAGTGTGTTGACCTTTTTTGAACAATTCTACTCATCCCCATTTTTTTTAAGCAGCCATTTAATACAAAAGAATTTCCCCCTCAATGCACTGCATTGCAATTTGGAAAATCTGCTTCCTCTTTTTCAACAGACAAAACAGTCACCGGCATCCATTTCTTCTCTTATTTCAACAGACAAATGAATATAAAGTTATTTCTTTCCACTGAGCCAGTTGTTATTGTGCGACATTTAACGACCCTATAGCATGACTATAATTAACATAGAGGCAAAGCAACTAAACCAGAATGCTCACGGGATAGAAGAATGTACATTTACAAACCAGACCAGACAACAGGAAAAGGCCTTGGTTCTCGGTCTT